ACACACTGAAACTAAACTGACCAGCCTGGCTAGCAGCTCGTCGAGGCTCTCTAAAGCAGGCCTTACCCAAGACTCTATCGGGTAAGAGCTTTGCTCTCGCGCTCCTATGAGGGTGACTATAAGGAGAGTTCCGTGAAGTTTTCGGATTTTGGGACGCTGGGGTTTTGATCACTTCGGGTTTGGGGTTCGGGGCTTTAGTTCCGTAGTGCTTTCAGGATTTAGGGTTCAGGGGTTCGGTTATCTGGGTTGTTCGGGAGGGCGTTAGAGTCTTAGAGTCTAGGCTAGGCTCTGGGGATTAAGGCAGAGGTTGGGACGAAGGGGTCAGGGTAAGGGCTGCAGGGCCCAGACTTCAGCGGCCCAAGACGAATCCTGATAGGGACACAGAGTTTGAGTTGTGGCTGCAGATCCTAAATCCCACCAAACCTCACGGCATCCTCGAGAAAGGCTCAGCCGCTCGATGCCCCAATTCCCCAGAACCGCTCAAAGTAAACCCTTTATAGACCCGAAACCCATGAAATCCCAAAAGAACTAACCCTCATAAACCCTGAAAGGACTCTGCAGCTCGAGGCCGAACCCTTGGAATGCCCTCGATCTACACATACCTATAAGATGTGTGTACATGCACGTACGCCAAGCTGGATATCTGGTTTCGCGACTAGGGCTTTAATCTGGGCTTTAACATGCGTGACGGCGCATAGCTCGTGTTTCAAGAAGCGGCTCTGCGCAGTTTGGGCAAGCCTAGTCTGCACCACGGCTCCATGCTTGTCGACACTCTGGTAGGCGTCTCAATACGCAAACAAGGCGGAACAGTCTAGAACAAAGAACTGTTTGTTCATCTACTTGTGCATTCATACTGGGTTCCAGCCCTAACCCATAAACTTGCCCTACTATTTTACCAAAACACCTTACTACCCCAATAAGCCACAGAAATAAAAGGTCAAACTTTCCGATTCCTACTAAATTACAAGAACCCAGAAAAAGTTCAAAGGTTGGGTATTGGGGATCTAAGAAACCCCCTGTGGCCACCCGGCAACTCAGTGTGCTTGAGCCGGTCCATCTGCTTGCCACGACGGCTTCGCTCGGACGGCTGGCCTAACACAGGGGGTCTTCATGACCAGAACAACGTATCCGCGGTGGATGACATTAACTGCTGCGTGTGTATGCGTGTATGTATGTACGTATATATATATATATATATATATATTAATATATTATATATATATATATATATGGACTATGAGGCGATAGTATTACGAGACGAGTGCTAGGTAGTAGTTTGGCAGCCAGGGCCGCCCATGGCTCAGCATGCAGAGCTGTTGAGGACATGACAGATTACTTTTCGCTGTGAGGGGCAATTATGGGCTTCTTCATAAGGGCATTTTCGGTTCTGAGCTGTTTTACAAGGCTGTATAGATTTGTAGCGGGCTTTTTGGTTTTTAAAAGTTATAGGGCTCTCACTGTGTCTCTCGGTCCAGTCGTCCTGGCTATTATCGCACTAGTCCGCGATACAGACATTGTCTACCAACATCCTGTCTCTGAAAGATGCAAGCAAATTTCGAACCTTTCGGGAAATAATAAGGAAGTTCCAAAAGAGTATGGGCAATTAATATAAGGCCCAGCAGAGAAGTTGAAGGCATCCTGCGGAGCATTCACGCCTGATCTGGTGTTTCAGGTTTTTTAGTCAATGTCAAGGGCTTCAAGAAGCAGGGCTCTACAGATGAAAGCCCAACTGACGACCTTGTAAGCTTGCCTTCTCTAACTGCCCCATGCTCCCAGATGCGGGCCCCAATGTTCAAATGTTCAATCCAGCCAACACGGACAACTTGAAATCGTACAGTTCCCCTACAAGCTAGAAACAGCAACGGGAATGGCAGTGGACAGTAATTCCCAGGCCCTTACCTCGCACCGTAAACAACTTCCTGAAGCTGAGTAGTATCCAAGACCTCAATCAGGAGAAGATTAAATGGTCGTAAATCAGAATAGTCCAACCTCCGCTGCCGCGTGGGGAGCCCCGTGAAACCATGTCCTGGATCATACAGGGTCTATAGTTCCAGGGGTCTAGACTTCTCTTTGGACATGTGGCCGTGAAAAGAATCAGGGTCTAGGGTCAAGTTTGCACTTCGGGTTCTTTCAGAACCCGGCATTTTTGGTGCTGAGCGTTAGAGAATCTCCAGAGCGTACGCGGAGGGCCAGGACACAGGGGTTCGAGGCTGAGGGGGGTGTGGCAGTTCAAGCGGGTTTCGGAATTCTTTAGAGGTGCCCAACCACCTACCTGAGTTCAGGGATTAAAGACGTAGAGAATCTAGGCGAAGGGGTTGAACTATATCTGAGTCCCGGCTTCCAAGCTGCTGGCTTCTGGACATCCCTCCGGCCCAATGTCCGGATACCGTATCCTCAAGTCGCCGCCATACTCTTAGCCCTAGGTCCTATCGAACATATGCCCTACTATACACCCACGAATCATAGCGTGCTACTTGCGAGGCTCCCACAGAAAGGACCCTTGAATATTCAGAACCATCTCCTCTGAAAAAACCTTACGAACCCTCCTAGAACCCTTGTGCAAGCCACTATGATGGAACCCTGATCGAAACATATAGAGCCCTTGTACACCGAAACCAACTTATTGAAGCCCCTGATGAAATCTGAAACCATCTGTAGATAATCCTGTAAAACGCTTTGCGCCACGTCCTTTCGCCTCCACCCTTATTAGAACTCCAGCAAAAGCCTACAGAACCCTTACAGAACTTCGCAGAACCACATAGAACCCCTATAAAAAGCATCCTGAAAGAAACCTTGTAAAAAGCTTTCTGAAGCCATAGATTATCTCGGTGCTCGGCATAGAAGTGACGGCCCCGGTCTTCGACCCAATAGGTGCCGGAGACTGCCTCGGAGCATCAGGCACAGGTTTAGGCTTGGGGTTTACCTGGACCCCCAAAGTATGTAGAATCATGGTTGTTTATAAGGTTTGGGTCAGTATTTTACCTACCTTGGGGTTCAGGTAGGGCCTGGGCGTGTTGGGGGTTCAGCGTATTCAGTTCAGGCCTTAGGAGCTTAGGAAATGGTGGCTGGCTATGGCAAGAGATGCAACTCAAGCGGCAGCTGTACTGCAGCTGACATCCTGAACATGGTCCGACGATATCAGATGTCATCCTTTGCATCATCAGCATCAGCACAGATCGGTCACATCTTGACTCGAAGTTTGTCTTCATGCCGTTGACGGTATCATGTCGACTTTTTGTTATTCACGCCCCCCGTCGCCATCATCATGCATGGAATGGGGCATATCATAAGCTAGTCCATCGTGTCACAGGGACGACACGTAAATAGTAGTACTAGCAACGAGCCAAAATTTGAGCTGCTGTTTAAGCCCTAACCCCCCCTGGTCTTCCTGTACTGAACTTAGAACCCTAGCAAAAATTATAAGTGTAGCTGTTTCTTAGGGATTATCATAGCAAAAAATTACAATTATTTCTAAGTGCCCCTAAGTTGCTTCCGGATTTGGGCTTAAAGGCACAGGATCTGGAAGAGGTTTCGGCTCAAGGGATTTAGGTTGCAGGGGTTACAGGGTTTCGGGTCTTATCGAGCTAGGGCTTGCGGGGCTTATATTTCAGGAATTACAGGATGCAAGATCTTATCGAATTAAATCTATCTCGAATTCTCAGAATTGAAACAAACTGAATTGATGAATGACCTACCTGCCGTCTTTACCTAAGCCGCTCTGGAAGAAGTTTCAGGAGTTGTCTGTACCCATCCCTGAGCCTTGCTACCCCGGAGGCCGTGATCGCCGAATGGACGGTTCGTGGAGACTGGACACAGCTACTCTGAGCCGGATTCTAGCCATTCTAGCCGCCTCCTTGTCCTCCTGTGAGACCTGCCACGACTCTCCACCCGTAATTACAGTCTTCCTCTCCAAGTTTCGGGCGTAGAAGCTTTAGGGAGGACGTGAACATGTAAACATTTTGCTGATTTTCCTTCACGGTTTGAAACGTCCCGCAAGCTGTTATTCTGTATATGACTAGAGCCTCAACAGCTGGATTAAGCTGCCCGCATCTGCAGTCGACGAAGGCATGCTCGTCAAGCCTTACCATCGACATGACTGAGACGACTAGTGTAGGCGCCTCAACGATTCGAGTGGGGTCTTCTTGGGATAAACGCTTCCCATGATCATAATAAGGAGCGCAGCGGAACAGTATGATAATTAGTTTAGGCCCCTGTATTACGAAGATTCTCAACGAGCCAGGATCCAGACATTGGCAAAGCTGCTCCAACCCACCATCGTCTGCTCTTGAGATCTAGGTGTCAGACAGTATTAGGCATTGTTGTGAGACCAGCAGCGCACCAGAATTTTGGAGGTTAATGCTCCACCAATTGATGACAAGTTGGCCCGGCAGTACATTCTGACACACCTCGTGCGGCTTCATGTTCACTGCCATGGACTCTGTTACTAATGTCAACAGCGGCGTGAAAACTACAAGCTCCCACGGTGAAGCTCGCGTTGAGCCACAATGCGGCGACAAATGAGTATACGCTTTTCTGCATCGACCCGAAGCACATCTACACACACATGTAACTAAATATGTATGTATGTATGTACGTATGTATATTGTGTATATATATATATATATATATATATATATATATATATATATTGTATATATGATTATAACTATACTTATATATATATACACACATATACATATACATATACATATACATACGTACACACATACACACTGTATTAAGGCATACGTGCGTACATACATACACATAAACACATACATACATGCATGCATGCATGCATACATACTTACTTACATGCCGTCAGGATAGCAAAGAGCCATGCCATGCGTTCCTGCACTTCAAAGACTTACTTTCTTGCATTCCCGTCTGACCAAAGCTGCTCTTATACTGCTAAACTCTAAACCGAAACCCTAAACCCTAAACCGAAACCCTGAACCCTGCTTGTATCCTCTCATGGATGCAGGCGTCGGAATCGGCCGCTAGAGGAAGATCTCGTAGCCGCGAGCTGCAGCTTTGTCTTCCATGATATCGTACCAATCGTCCTCTCAAGTACTGTAGGGGCCTTAATAATTGCAATACCCTGAGGGTCCATGTACCTAAATAGTACATACATTTGCCTTAAAGTAGTCCCTATATGGGTACATTTGGGCCCAAAGTATATACTATTTGGGTACATGGACCCTTAGGGATAGAGACTTGAGGTTGATAATCACGAACCCCCAAAGTAGTGCTTGAAATTGTTAAGGCTCCTATAGTAGGTCCATGTAGTACCACCGAGCGTCAGGGGACTACTTCGCTATGGATGTTATGATGACCGCTCCCATCTCGAACTCAACAAGCTGGCACCTTTCTCACTGTGGCCAGAAGGCGATAGAAGGTACTTGAGACCCGGCCTGGGATAAATACACAGCCGTCAAGGATACTCATGACAAACCCGAAACCCGATTTCCTGACCTTCCCATATCTGTCAAGACAAGCACTCCTGGTGGGCAGTCAAGCAGGCATCCATGGCCTGTCCCCAGGGCAACACTCCCAAACTGCAGAAGATATTGAGTGAATACCGCATGTAGAGGCCTTAGTACGTAATCAGATTAAGGTGTTTGGAGGATACTATACCATGTATTTATGTAGGCTTGTATAGTGGATCCTGTAAACACAATTGTTTTGAAACCCGAGGTTCGCTGATATGTTTGCAATGTCGGTGTTACGCGGAAATGCCGCTACAGGCGTCAGCTGCAACAGTATTAACCGAATCTAAGCCGATTCCAAGGCAAGCCTAAACCCTAAACCCTAAACCCTTCGGGATGCTTGTGTATCGAAATCTTGCTCCCGTCGCAGAGTGCCAGGGCTGCTCCCGACTGGTTCTTGGGTAATCATGCGAGGCTTGGGAAGCTAGACGCTCTAGCTCGGTGTTATAATTGTAGAATGAGGTTTTGGAGCCCATTGAAAAATTATTACAAGGAACCGCCAAAATAGTATTGATAATTATTCAGGCCCCTACATTGTGGGGCTGGGCTCTTTGCTGGCAGACAAACAAGAATTGTTGCTGCTGTCGCTGTTGCTGTTGCTGTTGCTGTTGTTGCCACCAGTATGTTGACCACGGCGGTCTATCGTTGCAGAAGGCCTTGTTGAAGCCGGTGGCTTGTGGATCCAGGGCATCGTTCTCCATCTCCTGCTGGAAGCATTTGGAACCTCTTGGGAAAACCTTGCAGCCTGCGCGAAATCCCAGAAACACATTGACCGGATTTCAAAGAAACATACCAAAACTGTTCGATGTGACAAACTGAACTGGACTCTAGACACAACTACGAATGCTTCGATGCTCTTTGGAACGCCTTATATTTCCCATGCCATTTGGCGTTTTGGCTTATACACTTTGCACCGCACTGGATAAGCTCATGCACAAGGCAGGGGCATTAATAATTGGAACAGCCTTTTTGCGGTACAGAAAGTAGTAATAGATGGGGACCAGCTGACGAGAGGCCAATTGTTCAGACCCCTGTATTCCTCTGTACCTGAAGCCATGTACTCGACACGGAAATGCAGGAGTAATGATCCCTGCTCTAGAACTCCGCAGAGGATCCGCGATCCTGAGCATTGAAAAGGCTTAAAACCGGAATGGAGGTCCCCTGCACCGAAGCTGAAATCTTCAGTTTTTGCGTCTTTGAAGTCTGGTCCCCCTAGCTCAAAGCCCATCCAACCTCGATCAAACTGATGGCATCCTGCCAGAGTCCGCCCCACCTTGATTTTGAGGGCAGTGGTGGCCCATGTGAGACCCTGTTTATTCCACCAAGTTGCTTTTTCAGGTGCTAATAAATGTCCGTCTTTTCCAGGTGCCATATACGGAAAGCTGAATATCTGCAGGGCTGTCATTCAGGTACTTATTTTGGTTTGGGTTCCGTAAAGAAACGCCTCTGGCACTCGGCCAGGCAGCCTAAGTAATGGAAGTAATGACCTCTATCCTGAAGACCGAAGCAAACTTTATTGACAAACGGAACCCCTGTTTCAGAAAGGCTGCAACAAGAGTCGAACCTACTAGTATGTACTAGCCCTAACCATTGGGATAAGGTGTTCCGGAAACTTTGGATACAAGATTAGCAACTATTCCGACCCCGTGTATTACTCATGACAGAGGAGGATGGGAACAGAGGAGGATGGGCGCGAGGTGCGGGAGAGGCAGGATAAGGTGGACCGCGATGAAGACGAGACAGCTCTGCAGGATGGGTTAAATAGGGGCCTTAATAATTAGAATACGGCTCCTTTAAAGGAGTCCTTTAAAGGGTTACCATAAGGGATCTATAGTAGGGTTCTGTAGTAAAAGGGCCTTAATAATTGGAATAGGGTTTTGGGGCCCAGTATATTACTTATAAGGAACCCCAGAATAGTGTAGGTACTTATTTAGGCCGCTATATTAAGAAGGGTCATGCAAACAAACAAGCGATGGTGTCGAGCCGGAGAGGCTGATGGCGACAGTGATGACGGGCGTTACCCAGAGGCCCCACAGTAGTTCCTTTTTGGGATCACCTTATAGGAATTCTATATATGACCCCCAGCAAGGAACTACTTTGGGGCCTTTGGGTATGATCATGACCACCACCATCATTACCATCATCACCACCTCTATCATCATCTCCGCCATCATCAACTACAGCGGAAAATGATAGAACCTGATGCAGCCTCAGCCTCAGCGTCCTCCTCGCCGTCGTCGTCGCCATCAAACTATTCGTGCTTATCTCTTGATCTTGATGTTCATCTTCATCTCCATTGAAAAGATCGTCATGTCAACTTAAGATTCACCCCCAGGCTCCCTGCCGGCAAGCGTGCAGGGCACCCATGTAGGTCGCCTTGCGGGTAGGCAGGTTCAAACCTGGCTGGAGAGAGGTTTCGTCTGATTCGGACTCCACGGACATGGGGCATCAGAACGATGGCAATGCTCTTGCAAACGATGTTGCTGTTCTACTGCATAATCCAAAATCCTTGCAGGCAATACGGGAAAGATAACGAGGTTTCAGATGTGGCCCAGGATCTTGAGTCACAGCGTAGGGCGAATGTTTTTTGTGAAGATCCCCCCCCCTGTGACAGTTGCTAGGCTACCTGTCCACATTTGGTCCTCCTCGGTTGTCCCGGTTTTCGGGGTCTGGGCATGTCTGCACCAAAAACTAGAAGACTCAGGAGCAAAAAAAGCTGCACGCTTCTTTGGGATTTGGGACATGCATGAAGTTGGTCAGGGGAAGCTAATGACTGAGGTTCTGCCAAATCTCAGATGGCAGGACTGCTGCTGCCCAAACCCATCTTCATATGGAACTTAACCAGAGGCGAGGTTGCAACGTATTACAGCCCAGCGCAATGCTTAGAAGACATCATTAGGCGCCTGTCGTGGCTATCGCCATTGTCATAGGTATTTGCAAAATAACATCCTCAACCACGAATAGCAGAGATCACCAGGCACTAATGTCATCCTTATCATCGTCCAGCACGTCCTGGGAGTCGTTATTATCAGCATCATGCGCACTATGCCATGCAGATTCTGCTGCACCCTGTTGTCACCATCACCATCATCACCATCATCACAGCCATTATTCTTACCGTCAGCGTCAGTCAGCAACACCACCACCCACGCATTCTTACAACAACTGTAAATCGTACTACAAATTACAGTCAAAACAACAGCACGATCCCCACAGCTGGCAGTCACTACAAGAAGTGGCAACGACGACAACAATGTTGCACACATCTGTGCCCCCTCTCCCCGTCCTTTGGAGGATCATGGGTACTCAGCTATCCTACTTATCACCCTACTTATGACTACCCATGAACCTCCAAGCTTTGGAGGATCACAGCTTGGGGCCAATACGCTGCATCTCACGGAGCAGGTCGATGGAGAGCTGCCATTGTCGATCCTGCCCGCTGCTGCAAAATGAAATTTAAGGGGCGCGGTACATTCAAAGGGAATCGATGTAGAAAACGGTGTGTTCTGACTCTGCCTTCGTTGACTCAGCTTTATGCGATGGGGACCCCAATTTCTGGACGGATTTACCGACAAATGTGGCGGCCATGATATGATTGGAATCCTATGAGTAAGCTAAGGACTACAATGAAAATGCTTAGTTCTTACTCTTATTGTTCCAGCCCCCATATGGAGTTTCCCAAAAAAGTGGGTACCTTGTTTTGGGGTTCCTTATCATAAGGATCCTACTATCTAGGGTGCCATATTAGGGTCCCCTATTCTCGGAAACTCCCATACAGTAGAAGCCAGAAAGTTGGAATATCATTATCGTAATCCCTTTAAGGTAAATTATAGGGGATCCTACCATTAATCCATATTCCAACTTTCTGGAGTTCCCTTTACCCTAAACCCTAAACCCTAAACCGTAAACCCTAAACCCTAAACCAACCTGAGGTTGACACTTCGTCAACAAATTGCACTCCACCCTGGCTCGGCAAGCACAAGCCCGGCTTGGCATTCGGATAATTTGCCATGTCCTCAAGTGGGTAATTGTCAAAATTGTGGTTCCTTTTTGGGTCACATATATAATACGGCACCTATTATTTAGGGTACCCCAGAAAGGGACTCTAATTTTGATTCTCAAGTGGATGGGAAGTTCTTGGGCTCTCGGTTCGGGTGACTGCCCAAAGAACGGATGCGGCGAGCCTGAGAGAGTTGTCCTTAGGCTCCTCCTTGTATTGAAGGTCATACAGTCCATTGATTAAGCCTTTTCAGAGATCTAGTGACGAAGAAGATGGTAGTGACAAGAAAAGGATGATACTCAGCACGCCCACCACCAGGACGACATCTTCTGATTGCTTGAGCATGAAATGTTGACTGGACTCCAGGCCTTTGTTACTTGCGAAAGCAACAAAATCCCCTTAAGCAAGGAGACTCGAAGCTGGAGGAAATCAAACTGTGATGATGACGACGATGGTGACCTGATAGAACGGCCGACTAGTAAGAAACCTTCAACACTAAGCCCAAATCCCTAAAACGTAGGTCATGGGCATGGCAGTTGTGCTGGCGAGGCTGGAGAAGATGATGATTGTCAACACCAGCACCATCGTCCTCCTCCTGCTGCTCACCGTCTTCTGCCATAGTCATCACCATCTCACCATTGACAGCAATGACGCGGGAACGACCGACAAGGATGAGGTTTAGGGTTTAGGGGTTTAGGGTTTAGAGTGAGGAGCGTCCTTCGCACACCCGGCCATTGCCCAGTGGAAGGTCGAGGTATCCGGAGCAAGATCCCGGTCCTGAAGTAGTATAGGGCCCTAAATAATCAGAATAGGGTTTTGGCGCCCATTTTACCATAATGATAATAAGGAACCCCCAATATAGTATAGGTAATTATTAAGGCCCCTACAGTATGGTGGCCCGGGTTTTTTGGCTTAGCTTGGGGGTGCATAGGATTGAGATTTTTGTGGCCCCCCAATGTACAAAAATACCGCCCAGCACCCTATCCTAATTCTTATATCAAGCCCCTAGTCTGGGGTTCGGGGTTGTCGGGTTCAGAAATCAGGATGTGGAGTTCAGTAGTGGAAGACTTGGTCTTTGGTGTTGGGTTTAGGGCTTACTCTAGATGTTCGGGCCGTTTCGGATTGAAGGTCTTTGGGGTGTAGCCTAAACATTGAAAGGAGTCTTCCTGTGCACTCCAAACAGAAGTAAAGCCTAGCATTCAGCTCCCGCTTACCCCGAAACACCAGTCTAAGTTGTGATGCCGCTACATGAACACGTGAACCTCGACACCAAGTAAAGCTGCCCACCCTGTTGCTACGATTCCTGAGTGCCCACAAGTACTGAAATCGTAGTTGCTGGCAGCATGGGCCCAAAGATTCCCGGGGCCTCAACAACTATGATAGGGTTTTGGAGCATATCGTAGTTCACTTGCAGAAGGTTATGGGCCTATCATACTATCGCTCATCATCGAGCTCCTCGACTACTCATACATATGCTCACGGTGCATATATCGGTATGTGCAAAAGCGAGAGGCGGACACGGCATGATGTACCTGGCCTTTTGCAGGACGTTTTCCGCTAGCTTCAGGGTAACCCTTAACCACAAGCGCTTGAAAACCCCAAAGAGGGCTTCGGATCGGAGCGTTCAGCAATTAATCCTGACCTCCCCACACCGCTAGATCTGCAAGCCCTGTTGCAGACATCACCCCTGACAAATCGACGGTTCAGGGCTTAAGCATATTGTGTAGGAAGCCTTAAACCCAAGACCGTACCCCTGAGGTTCGGGCTTAAACAAGAACGCCATACTCAGCTGTGAAACCTAACCCGAACCTCAAGAGCTAGTCATTGCATAACCTGGCACCTTAAACGCTAGGGCCAATACCCTGAAATCGAACAGTGACACTTTCACTGCAGTATATAGATCCCGAATCCCAATCCCTACCAATCCTCAACCACATGCAACCCGTAAGCATAGATGCTACACCATCGAAAACCGCCACCAAGGAGTTGTCGACGGATTCGATGAGCCCTAAGCCCTAAACCTGAAACGCAAACCCTGAAGTACCAGGGACCTTCATCTGGTTGAATACCATCAGGGCGCGTGGCCTCTTCACAAGTCGAAGTGTCAGAACCGGAGACTTTGGGACACGTACAGGGCTTCTCGGCCTACAAGCGAGTTTAGGCAAATAGGGGACCCTTATATAGTACCAGAAAGAGTAGGATCCTTATTTCAAGGACCCCCAACATAAGCTACTCCTAATTTTCGGAAACTGCCATAAGGGTTGTAAGAGTGGAGGGTTTCGGCTTTGTTGTGCTAGCTCCAAAGGCGACATGCTTCCAAAAGCGGCTGAGTGGCTCGCATAGTCAAATCTGTCCTTGTAGAGATGAGTATTAGGCCGATAAGCATCGAAAGCCGATGTCATTGCCCGGGGCTACGGCCTACAGGTTCGGATGATTTTTGAGCTGTATGTGTGTGTGGTTGAATGTCACTCGGTTTTCTTGCCGGACCCAGTCTGTCGCCAACTATCGTGCTCCAATGGGAGTGTTCAGGAATAGTGCCTAAATTAAGCGACCGTGCCTCCCTGATAAACATGTCAGCTGTGCCACTGCTTCCTGGCCCTCTCGCTGAGGGCGCGAACCGTGGCAGCGAAGGCAGGTACCTTCTCTTATCAAAACGAACACTTACTGGGCGTATGGTATAAGTTCTGACTGTCGGTCGCACATTATACAACACCATACATCCTGAACTCTACTTGGAGGATCATGGGACGTAGTAATTAAGGTTATAAGTACCTTATTTGGGGTTATAAGTAGTTATGAGTGGGGTTACCCTAATTATAACCCCCATGATCCTGTAAGTATTCTAACTATCAAACAAGTATCCTAAATCTATTCGATTAGTGCTATTCTTTGGTGTTTCTGCGTGTGTTCAGAACTGCATCTGCGGGTGTCTCTTCACTCGGGTAGTTGTCAACATTATGGTTAGGTGCCGTATTATAATAAGGATCCAAAAAGGGACCATAATTTTGACAACTACCCACTTGAGTCTCTAGCCGACTCCAGCTCTGCTTTGGCGGCATTCCCCACGGTTCCTCCAGTACTGCTGGTGATATAAATCCGGTGTTACCCTAAACTATGGGAATTATGGCATCTTCCATACTAATTATGGGTAGTGCAGGATTTATATCATCAACCGTAGGGAAGCATAGCATCTGCTGAATAAGTATTCCGGCAATTAAAATCCCTGGCTCACATGCTAGTCCGACGGCGCCCCTAGTACAGGAAGCCTATAACAAGAACCGTCAAGATCAACAAATATACTAATAGAAACCCTGACAATTCTGGACTTAAGCCCTGACCACTCCCCCCTCCAAAAAACGACGGCAAACACACACACACACACAACAAAAAAACAAAAGCAGTGCCAACTTCAAGAGCGGCAAACGCCAAGCACGAAAAAACGAAAACAACAACAAAGCAAGAACAAAGACCCTCAACAGCTAAACCAGAGCAACAATACACCCTAAACCCTAAACCCTCATCCCTAAACCCTAATCCCTAAACTTCCTAAACCCTAAAAGGGAGCCGAGCCCCGAGCCCCGGGATCGAATGAGAGCTCGTCCATCTCCGTCAGGAAGTCCAAGGACTGCAGAAGTCCCCGGAAATTTTGGAGGAATGCAACACAAGAGTAGGCATAATCGCAGTAGTAGCCATAGGAAATCATAAAACATAGTAGTAACAAGAATAGCAATTATAATCATCATAATAATGGTAATATAAACGAGTAGTAGTAACAATCATAGTACTAGGTAAGAGTAATCATGTTGCCAGAGTATGAGCTGTTATCAATAATAATGAGACTGATCATAGCAATAACAATCGCAAACACAGTGGTGATCTCAATAATGGTAGTAGTAGTAGCAGCGATAGGAATAAACAACAGTACGGACTCGGAATGACTCATAACAGCAATTCTGAGAATCTGCGGGTTTTGCGGCTCAGGGCTACCACTGTGCTTTTGTGCATTTGTACGTATGCATGGACCTCAAAAAATGTGTGAAACAAGTCATTCTTCTCGTCCACAGAAACCTCCTCCGCTTCCGTCTTCCATGCTTGACTCAGGATTTCTATCACCATACGTATAATTCCAGCAACGTTACAGCCGTGTCTCGAAGCTTGCCCGCGGTTTTTCAAAAGGACTCCGAAGCTTCATCTGCAGGCCTTCTGCCACTTACCTCGCCGGCCCCACCTCAGCTGGTGCGTACGGACATGCTGGGCGCTCGAGAGAGAGAGAGGGAAAGAGAGAGAGAGAGAGAGAGAGAGCGAGAGAGACAGACAGAGAGAGACAAAGGCGGGGACAGAGAGAGCCTTAAACCTCAATATTTAACAGCATGTCGTCAGACTTCTACGGCGAGGCCTAGAGATCGCACATAGCCATTCTGGTATGCTTGACCTTCTTCAGCATGGGGAGCAACATGACAGAGATCTCACGAAAACTCTCAACGGTCGTACTCCATGCTGAAATGCCAGACGAAACAAAACAAACTTTCGAACAGGAAGCTGCCAAATAAAACACACGAGAAGCAAAACTATGCCAGCAATAGTAACCAAGAGCCATTCCGCAAACCCTGGACCCCGAATAACCTTCCTTGTTAAGGATGTACACGGTTACGGTTAAGGTAAACCCGAATCCGAAGATCCACCGCCTTTTTTGCGTCGGTGCCATTTCGTCTGGAGAAGGGCACCGAACTTGATGGACAACAGCAGAATGCCTCTGAATTCTGAGCCCTATAGAACCCAAACATATCCCGGAGCCCGTCTAGAACCCAAAGAGATGTATACCGGAACCAGAAACCCTATGGAAACCAAAAAAACCTACTGAGCATCTTAAACTCTTAAACCCTAAACTCTATAAACCACTATCCCTAAATTGAGAATCGTGCTTGAAGATCTCCTGCTCGTAGGCCTTCTTAAGGCCTCGCGGGTTTATCGGAGAGCGCTTTCAGGCTTATTCAGGGCTTCCGGTCGACGATGTTGCGTTTTGAGGTTCATGTGGGAGTTTCCGAAAATGAGGGTACTTGTATTTTGGGGTCCGTATAATAAGGGTCCTGCTCTTTGGGGTACTATAAGGTCCCCTATTTTCGGAAACTCCCATGTAGGGCTTACAGAAGGGTTTCAGTAAATTGAAGGCTATCCCCCTATTATGTATGCCATTGCAGTTATGTTGGTTATGCACTCGCCACTTGCCCCGTTCTTATTGCTTCTTGTTGCTGGTGCTACTGTCTTCGCCCACCCCGCTCTGTAGATACTCTCCTTTGTCTGACACCAATAGAGGACCCGAATGTAGTACTCTAAATAATTAGTAGGATCGCCTTATTATAAGGACCCCAAAAAACAAGTACCTCATTTTCGGAATCCCCCATATTTGTCGACAAGGGCAGTGGGCAGGACTTGGACTGCGGTCAAAGCTGCTAGGTGCTGCTAGGTCCGAGGGACGACTTAAACCCTGACTCCAAAACTCATAGGGACCCTCAGGAAGGTAGGGGGAAGGGGGTAGGGACTATACTTCCTCAACTAAGCCTTTTTTTGGGTCTTTATTATGGGCATTAAGGCCCCCTACCTCCCCTACCCCCCTAAGGGTCCCTGTTTGATTGTTTGACCTGGTCACCCGGGGTTTGAGATGGAAGTCATGGAGACAACACATTCTCAAGGGCTTCGGATTGACAGTTTAGGATCCAAGTTGACAAGCTGAATCGGGACTGCAGGTCAGGGAAGTCATAGAGACGACCAGATTATCTTGAAATCCCGTTTTGCAAGAGACAGTTGCTCGTACTTCAACGCCAAAGGTTGACGGAACAAGCAAACATCACCGAACCCACTTCAAGGTGTCAGTAAAGGTCGGAATCCGCAAGCATGGAGCTCGGGTGACCCACAACCTAACCGGTAACCTGTCGCACTCAAGCCCTGCACCAAGAAACATGCAAACAATGTAACCGCAAGTGTCTTGAATAATCAGTATATAATATAGGGCCTCAATAATCAGAATAAAGTTTTGAGTATATTATACCATAATAATCAAAAAAAGGAACCCCCAAAATACTATAGGTAATCATTATATAAGCCCCTTATATTATGGTACTCTGAAAGATCCCGTATAGTTCCCCTTACAGGCCCCTTTTAAAGGAACCTTGTTCTAATTACTGAGGCCCCTATATGGGTGGTTGTCAAAATTATGGTCCCTTCTTGGGTCCTTAAAATAATACGGCACCTAATAGTTAAGGTACCCAAAAAGGGACCCTAGTTTTGACAACTACCCATATTAGACTCAAACCCTCGGAACGATAGCGCCATCCACAGGCTCGACTCTCCTCACCTGCCTCAAACCAGACCAATCAAAAATAGAATATGACGTGAAAAAGAATACCAAATCATACCAAACAGTCTGGTATATCGTGTATTACAAAACATAGTGAGGTCTAGAACTTAATGCAGCTTGCTCTATCCTTAACCCTGAAGAACCTACCTTTTTGAGGACTTATATAGGGAAATCGTAATGGGGAACCCCAAAACGGTAGGTTCTTTAAGCGGCTCTACTTGGAGGTTTATGGGTAGGTATAAGCGGGGTTATAAGTCCCTTAATATAAGTTATAACGATAGTTATCCTACTTACAACTACCCATGAACCTCCAGGTAGGCCTTAAATCCTATACCCTTCTAGAATCCCTATAGATCCCTTTAAAAAAAGGACCCTTGAAGGAACCCTCATAACTACCCATTTTAACCTCCAAGTGTGTGCCTGTCACCCGAGGCCTGGGGCTCGGACTTTCCAGGGTGCTGGCGTACTCGGAATGCGAGAGATCGCCGTGCTGGATCCTGACAGGGGAGGGGGGTTGGGGGCCTCAAGACCCATAATAAGGACTTCATAGGGGTCCCTGTGATCCTGACATCAGACTTGGAGGATCATGGGACTTAGTGGTTATAAGTACCTTAATTGGTATTATAAGGGACTTAGTAAGTATAAGGTTATAAGTACCTTAATTGGGGTCATAAGTAGTTGGAAGTAGAGTCACCCTAAACTTAATAAGGGTCCCTATGATCCTGACTCTCAGCAGGATTCTTGCTGTCATAGGGACCCTTAGGGGGGTAGGGGAGGTGTGTCGGACAACATGTCCTTAAATAGGCCTTATTAGGTCCTTAGGGACCCTTAGGGGGGGCAGGGCGGAGGGGGGTGGGGGGGGGCTTAATACGTATAATCAGGACTTAGAGGGTCCCTATGATCCTGAGAATCAGCAGGATTCTTACTACCCCAATAAGCCACAGAAATACAATGCCAAACTTTCCGATTCCTACTAAATTACAAGAGCCCACAAAGCTTAAAGGTTGGGTATTGGATTAGAGAACATGGGGAAGGAGCCAGAGATCATGCCACAGGGTACCAGCAGTAATGACAAACAATACAAGCTAATGAGTCATACCAGCGACGATATAAGCCGGGAAGTAAAGCGGAGAGGAAGATAGACAAATGCAGACACACCGACACACAGAAAGGCGAAAGCAGCTCGGGTTTCATAATGCTAAGAACAGAGACACCCTTGCAAAATGGACTCATGCAGCAGCAACAAAAGGAGCTACCAAAAATTCCGAGCACAGTCCCTAAGGTATCTCAAACCCTTTGCTGTGGGTGCCTGACGGTCATTTCTTCTGCTGCTACAGCGACCACGAGCACCAACACTATCACCACAGTATCAATCGCACAATCGTACCACCACTACAATTTACAAACAACAGTGATAGTAATAACTACTAACGACTACGAACAATAACAGCAAACAAGACATAGTCGCCAGCAAGAAGGACAACACTAAGTAAGTACTAAGGATGTCAGGACTTGCCCAGCCTTGTCCGTAGATCGCGCAGCGACGTCGGGAAGACGTGCTTCCGTGCGAAGGCGGCGTCGGGCGCATGCCAAAGCCTTTGGGTATCTCAAGTATGCATCAGGTCTGAGTCGGTCTGAGACAATGAGGCCCGATGCAAAGCAGGCCAGCAACCGCTTCGACTACTTGCACGAGTGCTTGCTGCATGGGAACGAACGAGAACGAAGAAAGGAGGCTGCAAATGCAAGTCCTACAGCAACATGCGAGAGCCAAATGACACCTTTTGCATGGAGCTGTACGAACAAGAACAGCTACACAAGGATACTGCAAAGTGATATCGGAACGAACGCCGTTAATGCAAGGGCCTTAATAATTGGAAGAGGGCTTTGTCGCTCAATATACTATACTTGTAGTAAGGACCCCCCAAAGTAGTATAGGTACTTCTTAAGGCCGCTATAGTATCCCAGGTCTGCCGCCTTCATGTTACTTCTATGAAACCACTCTGCACACAGGACTAGAAGAACCGGGCGCAGAGCGAGCAGCTGGCAACCAGAAGAATGGCGGGCAAAGCAAAACTTCTCCTGAATGCCTTCCAGGGAGATTCGTTTCGGGGGAGCCTTGAAGGGCTTCGCGCTAGGGGGCTATTGGTTTAGGGTTTAGGGTTTAGGGGTTATTGGTTTGACTTACCAGTCAGTTTCTGTGGTGCTTGTGGTCAACACGGCTACAAGTCCTGCAATTTGCACATGAGCAGCAACACCAGCAATGACTTGGACACCAAATGCAAGAGCGACTTGTGCATATCTGCGGATCCCGTGTGTTCAGGCCATGTTCTCGACGCCAGCATTTGAAATAGTTTTGAGTGTCAGTGTCCTTGCCACGCTTGCACGAATTCGTCCGGCAGGGTAGCCGGGGAGGGTTCAAGGGGGCGTCTCGGAAAGCTACGGCAGTGGAGCTTGTAGAAAACCTATATCGTTGCTTGGGACACAAGTTGGGGGGGAGATGTGGGAGGGGGGAAATAGATGTGGAAAGACATGGGTTGGTGCGCTGCAGACACCAAGTACTGAGAACTGCACTCTCCATCGCTGACTGCACACCGCAGGTTTTTCAGAGCCTGTGCGGTGCATTCGCCATGGGGGCTTGCCCTGCATCCCTTGGCTGCAGTAGCTCGGCCCTACAGGCACCAGTAGTCTGCAAGGTGCTTGATTTCTTGTTTAACCTCATATGCTTTGAAACGAATACAAACCTAACCAACAAAAAGTAGTTTGGAGACTGGAGATGTACTCTATGTAGGTCTCAGGTACGAGCCCTAATCCTGAAAAGCTTAATTTCAGAAAAAAACCAGGAGCCCTTCTGGCAGTTGCCCACACCCGAGGGACAGCTCCGATCAACAAACCAGTAATGTGCACCATGTTTGCATAGATATATCCACACATACAAACACTCATAGCAACCCTTTTGTTCATCAATTAAGAAAATTAATACACCAGTATAAATCCTATATAGTATGTTTGCACGTATTGCACATACATTGATGCAGGTCTGTCTGTCTTTGCCTACACCCGAGACGCCCGCCTCTGCCAGGGGCCGGCAGTAAGGAAGACTGCATGGCGCTGCAGAGGAGTATTGCTTTGTATGCGTGGCCGGTAACCCTCTGCAGTGCATAGGCCTGGTTGCTGAAGCTGCCGGATGGATGTAGGATTCTACAGCCGGTGATTGTTGCATCGTCATCTCACCCTGACATGGTCAGGCGACTCGAAAGTCTTAATCTCAGGGGATTTTTGAGTCAGGTTCTGCCTGCTGCGTTGTTTTCAGCAGGTAGGAGAGCCCTGTACGGTTTACGTCTGGTGGTAAGGGTTCATGAGAATTGTGACGCCACGGCCCGTTTGGAGGTCATTGCTCTTTCTGGACCTGGCGGTGGTTCATGATGATGGCAGGTTAGGCTACGGATTCTACGCTGGTGAAACTTGAGAGTGCAAACCGTGCGGACGGCGTTGCTGACCTTTCTTTCCAGGTGCATGCATTGGGGTCGAACCCAGTGCCACGAATCACTGAATATGGCGGATGGCTCACATGCTTCACTTCGGGCCCCTTGTCTTTCATGACGTCTCTCTCTCTCTCTCTCTGTCATGGACGCTTCAATGACCTTATAGAACCGCTTGTAGTACACCTTGTAATAGTAGTCCCAAGGTACTGCTTGAAGATCTTCCTTCTCCGTTCTAGCTCCCCGAACAGGGGAGGCCAATGGTACTCAGGTACGGGCCTGTGCCCCAGCAAGGCAGCTCTCAACTAGTGAAGATATGATCCAGTGGGGCAACATGTGATCCGTCTGTTAAGCAACATCCTGTTCAGACCCGCCACGAACTAGAATGTCACACGATGCGGGGTTTGAGGTCTAGCTTTAGGGTTCCAAATGCGCGCAGTATAGGTCTATAGGGATCTTGGATTTTTGCTGACTCAACTCCTGAAGCCTCTGCATACTCAGTGCCTGAATCCTAAATCCAACATCTAAACCCTAAACCCTAAACCCGTCCCAACCTCAGACTTCAGAAGGCAAAGCACGCAAATCTACTGCAGGCTGTTTCGCTGTGTCGTAGCCCGCGGTCACATCAGCCTGGCCGCTGTTGGCTTCGAGCTACGGAGTTCTTCGGGTCAAAAGAGGGTGGAAAAAGGCTTACTGATGAGCTCCAAGGGTGGCTCCAGGATTCAGCTTTGCCTAGCAAGCTTTTCTTAGCGAAGAGGTGAAAGTAGTCCTTTCTATGGGTCTGTGCTACCTGGATCTTGTACCGTTCAAGCACCAATCGTGTGACCGAGCCCCCATGCAGGCGTTGAGGAATAAGCTTCAGCGATGTTCCTAAAGCTTGACGCATGATTTATCATGCATTCACGTCAAGCCCTTCTGCATTGACTTGGGAGTTTCTAGTGTGTGGGATTTTAGCCCCAAGCGGTTTCAGCTACTTCCAAGCACCCCAAAAGCCCCCCGAAGCAACGGCAGCGCCCGAATCAAACTAAAGCTTGCCTCAAACCTGCATTCCAAACAGGAGACGTACAAAGCACGTCCCTTCAGATTGCGAGTTGAAAGACTATACATTCAACCAGACATTATTTTACCATGTTGTAATCTGTTATTGTATATTGTGTTCTATTAATAATCGACTTTGTTGCGTCATTTTCTGAGTCGGACATTGGAAACAAACGAGCCAGCCCCGACTGACTCAGCAGGGCAGCCGCACTCGCCTGCCAGCACAGAGCGCTAAACCCGAAACCGCGAGGTCGAGGGTTTAGTGCTTCGGCTTCAGGTTTAGGGTGTAACTTGTCCCGGAAGCTTGACGTGATTAGGAGATGGAATGCGGGGTGTGCTAAAGTCATTGAGCTTGAATATCATAATGTCTGGCTTTCTAGGACCGGATGCAAAATTGCCACGTGACTTGTCTCAGCCATGGAATCCAGAGGATCTTAGTGTGACGATGTGCCTGTTTGCTGTGTTCAGTTGCAGAGTTCAACAACTTCTGTACTCGGAGGGGCCTCAATCTCTTCCAGCTCTTTCTTCCGCTGCCTGCAGCAAGAGTGCCGTTGTGCAAACTCTATATTTGGGCAACTGCTCTGGGAAGCAATGTTGGTTGGAGCATGTTTTGACGACAAGCCTGGGCCAATGCACCATGACTCGGTGGCTAGGTGAGAAAGACCCCTCAACGAGGAGATTGTCGAATTCGTGCGGGATATGGTGTTGCAGCCTTTGAGTTACCATCTTCGCGAAGGACGTGAAACCTTTGGTACCCAAATGATAGGGATCCAGGTTTGTTCGTCTGGGGCACGAGGATAGTCACTGTTCGGGAACTTGTCGAATTCACAAGGAAACATCCAGTAGGCGTAACTAGCAAAAACACACATCTTGTACTACTCGAAGCACATATAGCACCAAATTATCATATTACATCTGTGAAAACATTAAACAGTACATATTACCAGCAAGTTCAAAGCCATTCTATCCTACATCCGGGACAGCTTCTGGCTCAGGCCACATATATACCAGCTTGACCGACCGGCTCCCCCAAGCTTACTACAGAATCCTTCATAGGTAGCTGTCAAAACTGTGGTCCCTTTTTGGGTACCCTAAATATTCGGTGCCGTATTATAATAAGGACCCAAGAAGGGACCCTAATTTTGACAACCACCTTGATGATGACAGCAGGATTGTGAATAAACTCAGTGTTGAAAGCCCGATATTGCTGGCAATGCGGTGAGCCGCGGTCACTCTCAGGCTCGCGCTGCTGAAGAAGCTCAAACTCTTGGTCCTGCGATGCGAGAGCATCTTCCACCAAATATTTTTCACCGGCTGCAATCTCAGGCCACTTCAATAACAGCTAATCTGAACTGCATCGGTCATCTCAAACGCGCCGGAGCCATTTCCTCTATTTGCCACAAATCCGTATGTCGTTCGTCAGGGATGGCGGTGCAGCACAGACGCATCACACGAGATCTGCACAAACGATTATGCTGGAAGCAACTAGCTGCACTAGCTCGAGGCAAATTCAGCACTTATTGCTGCTACTGCTGGAAAGCTGCGTCCCAAACTGACAGTGAAATGCTTTGCATACTCTTCGCTCTCTGGTGATGACATTCGTAAGAGATGGATCCAAAAGGCTGCACAGGTAGTCATGTCTAAACCCTATGTCATCCGCGAAGCCGGTGCCGAGTCCTCAGTAAGCTGGACCGTGGCAGGCGATTCCGGCACGGAGCTGCTTTGGCCTGCCGGACTGCCACGCGCAATTCGTGGCCGGAATGTGAACATGAAGACTACACCAGCACGACCACGACTGCTACTCTACTGCTGCGACTACTGTTTACAACTGTGCTGCTGCTGCCACTGCCACTACCACTACCCCTACCACTACCACGACCACCACCGCTGCCAGCACCACCACCACCAGCACCACCTCCACCACCAACACGACCACCACCACCAACACGACCACCACCACCTCCAGCACCAGATCTCTTACTACTACTAGTACGACTACGACGACGACTACTACTACTACCACTACTACTACTACTACTACTACTACTACTACTACTACTACTACTACTACTACTACTACTACTACTACTACTACTACTGATACTACTACTGATGCTACTACTACTGCTACTGCTACTGCTACTGCTACTGCTACTGCTCCTGCTCCTGCTCCTGCTCCTGCTCCTGCTCCTGCTGCTGCTGCTGCTGCTGCTGCTGGTACGACTACTACTACTACTACTACTACTGCTACTACTACTACTACTACCACCATTACTGCTACTACTACGAGTACCACTACTAATAATAATAATAGTAATAATAACACTTCTATTGCTGCCGACTACGGAGTGCTACGACTTCGGAGCTACTCTCCTGAGCCTGCTCCTGCCGATCATGTTGCTCCTGCTGCTGCCCCTGCTCCTCCTGAAGCTACGTACCGTCACAGGGGCTACTACTGCTGATGGTTCTGCTGCTACGGCTACACTACTACACTATATACTACCATTCCTCCTCCGGCTGCTGCTTTTCGTAAGACTGATTCTACGACCACCACTACCACCACTTTCACTGCCACTCCTACTAGCAACCTCCTCTGCCGATCGGTATGAGACCTTCTTGCAGCAGGGTGTGGGTAACGCTCCATGGATCAGTGTTCCCCACCCAACAAGCCCGGGACAACAGCCACCTGATGACGAACTGTGAAGGTTTAACAGCTGAATTCGAGAGCCTGCTGCAATCCAAAGCCACCTGGAGCAGAAGACTCCTGCGACTCCCGTATTCACACAGCCTCCAAACTCATCAAAGGGTTTAGGGTTTAGGGGTTTAGGGTTTAGGGTTCAGGCTTCTTTAGGGTTCTATAGGGCCCGAAATCTACCGCCAGCAACTGAACCCTAAACAGTGACTCATTCCATTCCCGGAACCTGTAACCCGAAACCACAACATTCATGGCTGTTACCTTTGGTTCTTACAGCAGGGATTAGAGGAATCGGGTAATATTATTATAACTACGATTACTACCATTCTTCCATTCCCTACTGACCACAGGTAAGATGGTGGCCTCCGTCCGCTGCTGTCTTCGCCGCTGTGGGGCTGGGGGACTTGGCTTTACCTGCAGCAAGTTGGCCAAGGCGGCCGGACCGAAGCCATCTTACTCTATGGATTATTATTACTACTATTATTGTTACTACTACTATTATTACTACTATTATTATTACTACTACTATTATGATTACTACTATTATTGCTATCATCATTAGTATGTGGGAGTTTCCGAAAATAGGTGATCCTAATATAGCACCCCAAATAGTAGGATCCTTATTATAAGGACCCCAAAATAAGGTACCCCAATTATCGGAAACTCCCATCTTACTCTAAGGATTTCGCATGATAGCCTAGAGTCCACATCAACGAATGTAGTTCCTCTGGCTGGTTGTTGGCGAGCTGTGCTTATATTGTCGGCATGAGCACGAGTAGAACCCAGGCCCCTTTTCAAGGCGCCTCGTTTCTGTCTGCAGATTCGGTGTAAAGGCTGAAGTAGTCTATAAGGTCTCGGGTTCTTAGGGAAAGGAAAGGCGGATTCTAAAGGT